AGGCCTTGTATGAGTCAAGTAGATCAATTTACCTACAAGTCTTCTGTACCTTTCTGAGTTGACTGGTACCCCGTCTGGTTTCACTTCCAGATTACATGATTCTTCCATAGGCGTCTCACTAGGTTTAGCCCCAAGTATTCCTGTTTCGTGGAGCAAATCAAGTGTGTACTTTCGTTGAGACACACTTATACCCTTTTTGGATCTGGCAACCTCCATTCCAAGAAAGTACTTCATTTGTCCTAGGTCCTTCACTTGGAATTCCCTAGCTAGAGCTTTCTTGAGTTGGGAGATAGAAACTTCATCACTGCCAGTTATGACTATATCATCCACATACACAATTAGGATCGTTACCTTTCCATTACTGTGTTTAACGAAGAGAGTGTGATCAGCTTGTCCTTGGACGTAGCCAAACCTTTTGATTGCCTTGGCAAACCTGTCGAACCACGCTCGTGGAGACTGCTTCAGGCCATATAGTGATTTCTTCAGTTTGCAAACTGAGTTGGGTGGAGCTATTACTCCATCTGGGATTTCCATGTACACTTCCTCCTCCAAATCTCCATTTAGGAAAGCATTCTTCACATCTAGTTGATGTAGAGACCAATCAAGGTTAGCAGCTAGAGACAGGAGTACCTGGATGGTGTTGAACTTTGCCACAGGAGCAAACGTTTCTTGATAATCAATCCCATAAGTCTGGGTGTACCCTTTTGCAACTAATCTTCCTTTGTACTTGTTGATACTTCCATCAGGATTGAATTTAGGGGTGAAGATCCACCTGCAACCCACTGCTTTCTTGCCCTTAGGAAGTGTGGTAATATCCCACGTGTTATTTTCCTTTAAGGCTCTCAACTCCTCATATGCGGCACGTTTCCAATTAAGATCTTTCATAGCCTGTTGAAATGTTTCTGGAATCTTCACCTGTGAGCTATTCACCACAAAGGTTTGCATTCTAGCAGATAAATTGCCATAGGAGACAAATTTTTGAATAGGATGCTGAGTACATGATCTTACCCCCTTTCTAAGTGCAATGGGCCATCCTAGCTCTTCAGGATCCAACTCTGGATTGGAATCATGTTGCTGCCTTGGAATGGAAGGAACCCTACTACTACTATCCTGCTCACCTGATTGAGGACTTGAACGCTCTGTCACCCCTGCATCAATTTCAGCATTCGTTTCCATTGGGTGAGTCGGGTGAGGAGTGTTTGTGGGGTTTTGGTGCTCTAGTGGAGGTGTAGGACTAGGGGTTTTTGGTTCCGGTTCAGGGACAGTGATTTCTTCTTGTGGTATGGCAAGTTCAAGAGGGGTGGCAAGATGTGTGTTGGGATTGGTCATAGGTTCAGGTGTAATTAGCCATTCTACTCCATAGTGCTCCCCCTGAATGGGTAATTTGGGATAATAAGCATCATCCTCATAAAAAACTGTGTCTTTGGAGATTATGAGTTTTCTGGTAGTGGGACAATAACACTTATACCCTTTTTGGTGGAGGAATACCCGAGGAAAATACATTTTTCTGCTCTAGCATCAAGTTTGCCCCCATCATGTTTATGAACAAAGACGACACACCCAAAGACCTTTTGAGGGATGGTATTGATGATAGGTGAGGTGGGGTAGGTCTCGAGGAGTTTTTGAATGGGGGTAGTGAAATGGAGAATTTTTGAGGTCATTCGATTGATGAGATAAGCAGCGGTTAGCACAGCATCTCCCCAAAACAGACTTGGAACATTTCTTTCCATCATAATAGCTCGGGTTACTTCTAGAAGATGCCTATTTTTCCGCTCAGCAACTCCATTTTGTTGAGGAGTATAGACACATGAGGTTTGGTGATGGATTCCTTCCTGCTCAAGAAATTCCCTAAAGGCTCCACTCACATACTCTTTGGCATTGTCACTTCTCAGAACTTTGATGGGAGTTTGGAATTGGGTTCTCACAAAAGAGTGAAAGTTTTTGAAAATTTGTAAAGCTTCGGATTTTCTTTCATAAGGTAACCCATGTGACCCGGGTGTGATCATCGATGAATGTAATAAACCACTTTGTGCCTGTTCGGGTGTTGATTTTGGCTGGTCCCCAAATGTCAGTATGAATCAATGTAAACGGGGCAGTAGGTTTGTAAGTATGTTTGGGATAAGAGGCGCGAGTTTGTTTGGCAATTTGACACGTTTCACATTGGAAAGGAAAAGAATTTTTATTGAATAAAGTTGGAAACATATGCTTCATATAATCAAAGCTGGGGTGGCCTAATCTTTGATGCCACAACATTACATTTTTATTCTGAGAATTAGAGCTAACCATAGCTTTCTTTGCTCCTGCAGTCTTCATATCTTTTCCTTCAAAGTAGTAGAGTCCATCCCATTCTTTAGCAGTCAAAATCTTCCTCCCCGACTTGTCCTTTAGTCAATTTGCTCACAGATATAAGGTTGCAGGTAAGAGCAGGAACAAACAAAACATTATGGATTTCCAGATCATCAGATAGGGCCACAATGCCAACACCCTCAACTTTAGTATATAGTCCAGTTGCTACTTTTACCCTAAGGTTCTCATGGCAGGACTTATTACCAGTCATGTGGTCTGTAGCACCGGAGTCAACAATCCAGGTTTCATCACTAGTTACCATTGCATTAAGGGCTATAATAGAATTACCTGACTGAATCAAGTTCACGTTGGGAACAGATTTTGATTTGTTTTGTTTTTCAAGTATCTTACGAAGCATTTGAAGCTCTTCTCTGGTCAACTGGTCTCCCTCATCACCTTTTTCTTCAGAGGAGGTGTGGTGGCTTTTTCTATCTTCCCGTTGTTTCTGCTTCCCTTGGGTTGGTTTCCCATGTAGTTTCCAACATTCGTCTCTGGTGTGGCCTTTCTTGTTACAGTGATTGCACCACTTGTTCCCTTTCTTCTCAGATCCCTCGAATGTTGGGGACCTCCTCGTGATTAATGCTGAGCCATCTACTGGGGTTTGGTTACCCTGAGTGAGGTGTCTCCGGCTTTCTTCAAACTTGACCATACTGAAGACTTCAAATAGGGAGGGAAGCGGTTTTAGACCCATAATTCTGCCTCTTACTTCTTCAAAGACATCATTCAAACCCAATAGGAAGTCATAGGTTCGTCCTTTTTCCACCAGTTGTCTGTAGTAATTAGCATCATCCATGTCCTTCCAAGGATGAACTTCAAAGAGATCCAACTGCTGCCATATCTTCGTTAAAGTGCTGTAATATTGTGTTACAGTTAAGTTTCCTTGCTTCAGATCTTTGAGCTGCCTCCTTAGATCCAATAGGGCTGCAGTGTTGTCTAGTGTGGAGTAAGTCCTCTTAGCAGCGTCCCAGATTTCCTTAGCTGTGCTTGCCAAGAGGTATCCTTCACTGATTTCAAGAGTCATTGAGTTGCACAGCCAAGACATCACCTGATTATTTTCAGCAAACCAGGTGTCAAATTTGGGATCATTATGTGAAGGTTGTTTTGCCTCTCCATTGATATATTTCTCCTTACGCTTCCCACGTAGATACATTAATACACTTTGAGACCATTGGAGATAGTTGCTACCATTAAGTTTGTGAGCCACCACCATAGCTTGATGTTCAGAGGTTAGGGATGGTTCTGGATCAGAGGCTTGAGAGGTGACTAAGGTGAAGAGGAGTGCTTTGAGTATTTGAGGATGTACCGGACATAAGGGCCATTGGAATATTACGAACGGACCCACCCAAAAGGGGTGGCAATTCTGATGGGTTCATTTTCTGGATCTCTGGGAGGCACTGTTGGTTTTCCGGCGGCGGCGCGTGCAATTCCGCGCAGAGGCATGACGGCGCGTGGGCTTCACGCGCGGAGCTTGTGACGCGCGCGTGCGGCCTTCACGCGCATCCGTTCGACGTCGTCTTCAAGGGATGCGCCGATCTGAGGGCGCCGGTGAGGACTGGAGGGGCGGTGTTTGTCCACGGTCTGCTCCTGGCTTCAGATCTGGGACGCCTCACTCTCTCTCTCTCTCTCCTCGCGTTCTCTCTCTCTATCTCACGGCAGCAACGCACGAAGTTTTCTGGGTTCAGGAGGAACCCTACGCTCTGATACCATGTTTATTTTGCTGAATATTTCATGCTCATGTATTATTCCATATGATTGGGTTACAATATATAGAGTCCGGATGAGAAATAATATCCGGTTACAATCAATCAGTCATAAATTACATATATTGCAATATCTCAATAAATTAGGAAATATATCTTCTAGCTAATATCATGGGCAATTAATGGAGAGAATCAAGGGAGATAATCAGGGGCTTTCTAACAGAATTGGAAAAATGGGGAACCAGAATTGCCCGGATTGAACTAGAGTAAATCGATAATAGTTGGACAACCCACTGAATGGGGTGGGTTATCCAGTTTGATATGTTTTTCCGATCATCACGAGTGAGAGAGGGACAATGGAGAGTACCTGAACAATGGAGAGAGTATCGTTGGCAAAGGTTGAATGAGAAGATGGATAAAGCATTGTTGGTAAAGGTTGAACAAGAAGATGAGGAGAGAAAAGAGGAAGAAGGGAAAAAAAATGAAAAGAAGGATTGAGACTAAGCATTAATGGGCCCATTGCATTGCTAGACCAAGGCGGCAGCCCTAGCATTTTTCTTTTCTTTTTCGTATTTTCATGGCCGTACAACCTCACATGTTTTTCCCCCCCATTCTCCCATTAATACATATTATAACATTAAAGAAATAGGAAGTGCTGTTAAAAGAAACGCAGATAAGTGGATGGGGTTCCTTTGTGGTAACGCATGTTATATGTATACATGTAATACCTTTGCTGTCTATTTTTTTTAATATTGTTTCAGTAAAAATAAATTTTTAGTCAATATAAACTAAATTAGATTATTTTAATATAATCAGTTTGATCTTGAGTTAACTTAATTTGACCTAGTAGCCCTTAAACTAGTATATCAACTGGTTTAGTGCTCGGTTCAGTTTTTTGTACCCTCAAATTTATGTCTTTAAATCTGATCAAATGCTCATCTTTCTTTCATGTAGAATTTAAAATTTGTTGCTTCACACCTCTCCTTGGTATTGAGCGTCTTAATGCTAATCTTCAACAAGCTTGAGAAGTTCTGATGATTTTGTTGTATAAGGTTATTACTCTATGCCTTACAAGATAGAAAAGCTTGGAGGCTTTTTCTTGAAAGATGCATGAGTTACCATTTCAAGTTGGTCAATTGGCTGAGACAAGGTCTTTACAACCGGGTTATCGTGGTGCTTGGTTTCGTTGCAAGGTATTCTTTGTTGTTCTCCTAAGCAGTTTCTTTTATATGGTGCGTGGTTTTGTTGCAAGATATTCACAGCTTTGAAAGATGCATGAATTGTCATTGATGATTTTGTTACTAGATGCTTTCCTAGGTAAGTATCAAATCATTGATTCTCATAATTTGGATTGTTATAGTATCTTACTAAAGACTACTTATAATTTGTGGGTTAACAAAAGTATGTTGGGCCTACTACCAATATTATATAAATCTAAGGGTTGTGCAAAATAATGAACCAACACAAATTAGAATACAACAACAACAACAAGGCTTATCCCACTAGGTAGGGTCGGCTACATGAATTACACGACGCCGTCGTGCTCTGTCAACAACCCAGTCCTTAGATATGTTGTTGATTAGGAGGTCTCATTCAATGACCTCATTAAGCGTTCTTCTTGGTCTTCCTCTGTTCCTTTTTATGGGACTCCATCTTGTCTGATCCACCCTCCTCACCGGGGCCTCCAATAAGCTTCTCTGCACATGTCCAAACCATCTTAAGTGATTTTCAACCATTTTCTCTTGGATAGGTGCCACACCGACTCTTGCTCTGATATTTTCATTTCGAATCCTATCTTTTCTTGTATGACCAAACATCAATCTCAACATCCTCATTTCTGCTACCCCAACTTTGTGCTCTTGTTTTTCCTTTATTGTCCAACATTCACTACCATACAACATAGCCGGTCTTATAGCAGTCCGATAAAATTTTCCTTTTAAGTTTCTCAGGTACCTTCTTATCGCAAATAAAGATTGCAAACATATTCATGATGATCAAGATTGCATTCCATTCCATTCAAACTGTGCCTTGTCATGAGAGGAAGGGCCCTGTTTATTGCAACTAGAGTAGGAGTGATTGATCCAAAGGACCTACTCATGATCTGGTTGCTTTTCAGTGCCTTTAAGGCACGTTGAAATAATTTGAGAGAAAAATGCTGCATGATTTTCATTGATGGTGTTGGAAGGTGTCGTCACAGCTCATGAAATAAAAAGTTTATTATGTCTTATTTCATTTAATCAATTTCTAGTTGTATGTTCATTTTGTTTGACTATATCCATTTTAGGAGATAAGAATTTGATCTTGTTTATTATTGAGATTAGTTAGGTTAGAAGAATAGGTTTGATTGCTAAAATATGACCCTAGACTCTCCTATATAAGTTGAACTATCAGATCAATGGAAAAAAAGGGCTTATACTTTGTAAATTTCAGATAGGAATGAATACATATATAGGTGAGATATAAGGAAAATAATCTAATTACATAACTAATATCCCTCCTATAATCTTGGAAAACATGAAAACTGAGAGAGGAGAGCAATAGTTTTAATCGGTGTATATTACTGAAGCAGTAAGTACATTATATAACTTGCTAAGATACCTAAATCTAGGGTAAATGACTAAATCAAAGAGATCTATCTTAATCTATCTGATAAATCTAATCAGACTGATAAACTGAATACAAAGAATGGAATTAATAAATAAATAAAACACAGCTTATTGGGTTGGGCTTTGTCTTCCAACACTCCCCTCAAGCTGGTGAATAGATGTCAATCATTCCTAGCTTGCTCCTTAGTCCTTCAAATGAGTCTCTGGGCAATGGTTTAGTAAACAAATCTGCCACTTGATTTTTGGTTCGGATGTAAGATAAGTCAATGATACCACCTTCAATCTTTTCTCTTATGAAGTGTCTGTCAATTTCAACATGCTTTGTCCTGTCATGATGTACAGGATTTAGGGCCATTTCCATGGCTGATTTACTATCACACCAAAGTTTTATTGGCCCAGTATGCATTAGTCTAAGTTCTTTTAGAACTCTAACTATCCAGATTCCTTCGCAGACCCCAAGGGCTAGTGCCCTTAGTTCTGCTTCGGCACTGCTTCTGGAAACCACTGGTTGCTTCTTATTCTCAGGTAACCAGATTTCCCCATAAGTAAGTGATGTATCCAGTAGTAGACCTCCTATCTAGCAAGGACCGCCCATGATCTGCATCTGTGTAAATTTCTATTCCTCTAGCTTCTCCTTTCCTGAAGAATAACCCCTTTCCTGGATTCATCTTCAAATATTTCAGAATTCTATATACCGCTTCCATATGTTGCTCTTGCGGTTGATTCATAAACTGACTTACAACTCCCACGGCGTAGCTTATATCTGGTCTTGTATGAGCCAAATAGATGAGTTTTCCTACCAATCGTTGGTATCTTCTGGTGTTAACCTGTATCCCATCCTTCTTGTATTCTAAATTGCAGTCAGTTTCCATGGGGGTTTCTGCAGGTTTGGCTCCAAGCATACCGGTTTCTTGCAACAAATCCAATGTATATTTTCTCTGAGAGACATTTATTCCTTGTTTGGTTCTACTAATTTCCATCCCAAGGAAATACCTCATCTGTCCCAGATCTTTCATCTCGAACTCAGCTGCAAATGATCTCTTTAACCTTCTTACGGCCCCTTCATCATTTCCTGTAATCATAATATCGTCTACATACACTATCAGGATGGTTATTTGATCACCAACATGCTTTATGAAGAGTGTGTGATCTGAGTGCCCTTGTGAGTATCCCATTTTTTTCATGGTCATCGAGAATCTTCCAAACCAAGCTCTAGGGGATTGTTTCAACCCATACAATGATTTCTGGAGTTTACAAATTTGAGCAATTTGTTGAATTCTTCAAGCCAGCAGGTATCTCCATATATACTTCCTCCTTAAGATCCCCATTCAGAAAAGCATTTTTCACATCTAGCTGATAAAGTGGCCAGTCTAGATTGGCTGCTACTGATAAAAGAACCTTAATGGTGTTAAGCTTAGCTACCGGGGCAAAGGTTTTTTGATAGTCAACCCCATATGTTTGTGTATATCCTCAAGCTACAAGTCTTGCTTTATACTCCCTCCGTTCCTTATTATGACATTTGATGCTTATAGCATGTTCCTAAATATAAGAGACACTTAAAAGTTGTCTCTATTTTTTGTTTGATTCCTATTTACCCATATTTATTGTCTCCAACTCACATCTCCTCCCATTCTTTCTTTTAAGATTGTCATGCTCTCTTTCCTAATGAGGGCATTTTGGTATTTAACTTACAACTTAGTAATTCGTTATCTTCCATCTGGTCTTCTTCCTGCGGGTAAATTAGTAATTTCCCATGTTTCATTCTGTTTCAATGCTTCCAACTTTTCATTGATAGCCTGTTTCCAATTAGAGTTACCAATAGCCTCTTGAAACGTCTTAGGTACTCTCTCACTGGATAAGTTTGCTACAAATGTCTGCATTCTAGAAGATAATTTATCATAGGAAACAAATTTACTGATGGGATGCTGAGTACAGGATCTTACCCCTTTTCTGAGAGCAATTGGCCACCCAAGTTCTTCAGGATCTAACATTGAATTGGAGATTTGGTTATGCCTCGGAATGTGAGAGACTCTATTATTTTGCTGCTCTTCTGCGAGTTGTTCTTCTTCATCATCAGTTTCAGTACTACCTTCCTGGTCCATCCTTGTATTCACCTCAACACTATTTTCCAGATGGCTGTGATTTTGTTAAGTAGAGGAAGCTTGTGGGTTTGGATTTTCAGGTTCGGGTTGAATAGAGGAAGCTAGGTTTTCAGAAGCTTGTGGGTTTGGATCTTCAGGTTCAGGTTGAATAGAGGAAGCTAGGTTTTTAGAAGCTTGTGGGTTTGGTTCAGGGATGTCTAGGATTGTTTGAGCAGGGACATTCAAGGTTAGCCATTCTTCAGTGTCATAATTCTCCCCCTGAATGGGTAACTTGGGATAGTATGCATCTTCTTTGGAAAATACGGCATCCTTAGTAACATAAACTCTGCTGGTTGTGGACAATAACACTTATAACCTTTCTGGGTAGGAGAATACCCAAGAAAGATACATTTTAAAGCTCTTGGTTCCAGTTTGTTGCTATCATCTTGATGTATATACACTACACATCCAAATACTTTCAAGGGAATGTCTGAGACTAGGGGTGAATCTGGGTAGGTTTCAAGAAGTTTTTGAATGGGGGTTTGATAGTTGAGTACTTTTGTGGGCATTCTATTGATTAGGTAGGCTGATGTGAGAATAGCTTCTCCCCAAAATAGGTTTGGAACATTTCTGGCAATCATAATGGCTCGGTTGACTTCTAGGAGATGTCGGTTTTTCCGTTCAGCTACCCCATTTTGTTGCGGGGTGTATGCACACGAGGTTTGGTGGTGGATTCCTTGCTGGTCAAGAAATTCCTTTAAGGTTGTGCTGAGGTACTCTCTTGCATTGTCACTTCTTAATATCTTGATTGTCCCTTGGAATTGAGTTTTCACAAATGTGTGGAAACTTCTAAAAATGTTAAAAATTTCCGATCTTTCTTTCATCAAGTATACCCAAGTTACTCGAGTATGGTCATCAATAAAGGTCACAAACCACCTAGCGTTAGAGGTTGATTTAACTCTTGCAGGTCCCCAAATATCACTATGTATTAAGGTAAAGGGTGCGGTTGGTTTGTAAGGTTGTTTGGGATAGGAAGTTCTAGTTTGTTTTGCATACTGGCAAGTTTCACAAAGAAAAGGAACTGAACTTTTATTTAATAAATCTGGAAATAAGTGTTTCATATAGTCAACACTGGGATGGCCTATCCTAGAGTGCCATAATAATACATCCTTATTTGAAGAATTTGAACTAAACAAAGCCTTGCCCACATGTTTATTGGTGATCCTTGAGCCTTCAAGATAATAGAGTCCGTCCCATTCTTTAGCAATGTCAATCCTCCTCCTCGTTGTCAAATCCTGAAAAACACACCCGGTATCATCAAAAAACACTCGACAGTGATGATTTTTAGTTATTTTACTCACTGATAGCAAATTACATGCAAGTGCTGGGACAAATAAAACATTTTGTAATTCTCAGTTATCAGAAATCTTGACAGTTCCAACACCACAAACTTTGGAGAAGATTCCATTAGCAACTTTCACTTTAAGATTCTCATCACGGCAATAC